ACATGGATGAACCTTGAAGACAGTGTGCTAAATGCAGAGGGACACATTTCTCACATATTGTAGGAGTCCATTTATATAGAATGTCCAGAATAGTTAAAGCCATCAAGACAGAAATTGAATTCGTGCTTGCTCAGGGCTGGGGGAGGGGAAAATGAAGAGTGATTACTTGATAGATACGAGGTTTCCTTTTGGGGTGATGATAGGGTTCTGGAACTAGATAGCAGTGATGGTGGCACAGCACTGTGAATGTACTAAATGCATCTGAAATGTTCACTTAAAAATGGCAAAAACAGGCCTGGCGTGGTGGCTCACGCCTGTAATCCCAGCAGTTTGGGAGGCCGAGGCAGGTGGGTCACGAGGTCAGGAATTCAAGACCAGTCTGGCCAACGTGGTGAAACCCCATTGCTACTAAAAATACAAAAATTAGCCGGATGTGGTGGCACGTGCCTGTAATGCTAGCTACTAAGGAGGCTGAGGCAGGAGAATTGCTTGAACCCGGGAGGCAAAGGTTGCAGTGAGCCGAGATTGTGCCACTGCACTCCAGCCTGGGTGACAGAGTGAGATTCCATCTCAAAAAAAAAAAAAAAGGTAAAAACAGGCTGGGTGCAGTGGCTCACACCTGTAATCTCAACTCTTTGGGAGGCCAAGGTGGGAGGATTGCTTGAGTCTAGGAGTTCAAGACCGGAGTGGTCAACATAGTGAGAGCCAGTCTACCAAAAAATTTTTAAAACTAGGCCGGGCGCGGTGGCTCACGCCTGTAATCCCAGCACTCTGGGAGGCCTAGGCGGGTGGATCACGAGGTCAGGAGATTGAGACCATCCTGGCTAACATGGTGAAACCTCGTCTCTACTAAAAATGCAAAAACTTAGCCGGGCGTGGCGGCGGGTGCCTGTAGTCCCAGCTACTTGGGAGGCTGAGGCAGGAGAATGGCGTGAACCCAGGAGGTGGAGCTTGCAGTGAGCCGAGATCCGGCCACTGCACTCCAGCCTCGGCGACAGAGAGACTCTATCTCAAAAAAAAAAAAAAAAAAAAAAAAAATTTAAAAACTAAGCTGGGCATGGTGGCATGTGCCTGTAGTCCCGTCTCCTCTGGAGGTTGAGTTGGGAGGATCACTTGAGCCCAGGAGGTCAAGGCCGCAGTGAGAGGTGTTTGTGTCACTTCACTGCAGCCTGGGTGACAGAGTGTAGACCCCCATCTCTAAAACAGATGAATACATATATACAGAAATGATTAAATGATGAAGTTAATGTTATGGGTATTTTTCCACAACGACATCCTTACCCACAGAAATCTCAGTGGAGAAGACAGGAGTGTGGCAGACCAACATGCTTCTGTAGCCCCACAAAGCTGTCCCTTTAATTGGTAGCACTCCTGGTAAAGGCTGTTTGCTTAGCGGACATTGACCTCTGACCTTGTCCTCTACCTGCTGGTGCAGTGACTCCTGCTATCTCCCCTTTGTTCAGCTCACCTCTCAGTCCCCAGAGTCCTAGAACCGTCTATAGGTTCTTGCTTCTCCCTTTTCCCCTAGAAGCATCTCCTGGGAATCGCCCTGACCAAAAGCCCCAGCCACCTCTCCAAGACCCCCTCCAGAAGCCCACACAGCCCTTACATTCATTGCCTTTGAACCGACCCAAAGTCAGCAAGTTCAAAAGTTGTCAGAAACCAGGAGAAGTCTCAGCCCCAAATCAATAGCAGCCGTTGTCAGCTCCTCCCAGCTCAAAGTCCCCCAGAGACTGGTTCCCTGGTCTGAGTCAGGAAGAAGAGACTGAAAAGCACAGGGATCTGGTGCTTTTTCTTCGCAGAGATCTGGTGCTTTTTCTTCGTAGGGTGACTCCCTCTCCCCACCAAAAACCCTGCCAACTGAAAGATCACTGATTGGTTGCATCAACCAGCCTCAACCACCAGATGTCTTTGAGATGGGGAGCCAGCCCCCTAAAGCTGAGTCTCTGTGTGTGGCTTCCAAATATCTGGTCCCCTGGGTGCGGACAGAAGAGAGGACACAGAGGCTGAACATCTCCCGAAGGAGGGGGAGACTGGCTGGGCACCAAATAGTCTTGCTTCCCTCTCTGATATCATAGGAACATGAACAGACTTGGAGATACTGATTGAAAGTATATGTCACCTGAGGGAGACATTGGTTCCAGAGCCATTAGTTCCTAACCTCCTCCTATACTCTCTGCATGGTGGAAGATGCCAGAACATTCTCAGAGCTTGAGAAAAAAGAGGAATTGAGAGATGGGATGGGGGTCAAGAGATAGAGAAGGTGAGGAGGAATGAGGAAGGAGAACTCAGAAGCTCAGGTCTAACTTCACCCCACTCCCCTCAGGACCCCTATACTCTAACAGTTATTTCTGAGAGTTCCTGGGGGCCACCCATAAACAATGAGGTTAAATGTAAATGGAAGGGCAGGACTCTGTTGATGTCCCTGTTGGCTGCATAGTCACCAGCTCTCATGACCCAAAGAGGAGAGTGATCAGGTGACTAGATCGTCAGCGAGGGTAAATCTGGAAGACAAAATGTTTGAGGCCAGGTGCAGTGGCTCACAACTGTAACCCCAGCACCTTTGGAGGCCAAGGTAGAAGGATCACTTGAGCCCCAGGAGTTTGAGACCAGCCTGGGCAACATAGGTAGACCCTGTCTCTACAAATAATTTTTTAAAATTAATTGAAGGATTTCTAAAGACTACATGAGTGGTTTATGTCTCCTGGAGGCAGAACCCAGGGAGGATTTTTGTTGAAATACCAAAGCCGCAGGGAGCCTGAATAGAGATGTTGAGACAGAAATGAAGTTTGAAGAAATAGATTCTGGCGGAGAGGCTTGTGGCCACAGACAGCTCATACATTCATTCGTTCTTTCACTCACTCAACAAACATTAAATGGACTGTCTCTAACTGCATTTCCCTCTCTTGACAAGAGGGATACATCGGAGAGAGACAGGCTGAAGGAATGTAGAGTTGGTATTGGGCCTGGAGCTTTCCAGAGGCACTGTGCTCTGCTGTGCCCTTCTTCACATCCCAGTCTCTACGATGTCGACTGTGTTCGTGGATATCACATCGCTGTTGAGATCCCAGAAAGAATATGCATGAACCACAGTGACAGATGTCATTCATAATCCTTTTCAGCGAAGAATAACCTACAAAAATGTCTTCTGTGTACCTTCCCCTGGAATAGTTTGTGATTCTGATGCAACTGGAGACAAAACATCTCTTATCCATGGCCTCTGTTGAATCAGTTTTGTCTCCAATCTGCCTTTCATGGGCACTCTAACAAGAAGGCAAACAAGGCAAGTTCAGCTGGTCTAGCAGTTCTGAGACAGCAAATTATCTCACCGTTGATGTGGACCAAGAGGCTCTTGCAGAAAGACTAATACTTAACTTTGAGAATCTGGGTCCCAGCTTTTTGTTTACCCAGAGAGGTATAAATCTGAAAGAATCTGGGTTCCAGCCGAGCCGAGAGAGGTGTAAAATCACAGAGGCATGCCTCCACTCAGAACACACCATTATCGTGCTTTTATATGGAAGGCACAGCCATTCACTCATTGTCTGATAGACGTTTCCATTGAATGTTGGATCTCTTCAAACCAAGTGTCTGTAAACCAAGGGTTCTGCACTGACGCTGAGGATGAATCCAACAGGAAAGATACAGAGAAACATCACAGCACACCCCAGAGACATATGCAATTATTGTTTATTGATTAAAAATATAATGAAAATTAGGAGGCCGAGGTGGACAGATCATGAGGTCAGGAGTTCGAGACCAGCCTGGCCAATGTGGTGAAACCCCGTGTCTACTAAAAATACAAAAATTAGCAAGGCGTGGTGGCACACACCTGTAGTCCCAGATACTCAGGAGGCTGAGGCAGGAGAATCGCTTGAACTCGGGAGATAGAGGTTGCAGTGAGCCGAGATGGCACCGTGGCATTCCAGCCTGGGCGACAGAGCAAGACTCTGTCTCAATAATAATATTAATAATAATGAAAAATAAAAGAAGAATAAGGGAAACCAAAAATAAGCATCTAGAAGAGCAGTTTAACATGCAATTTCATTTTCATTATTTCTGCTTTAAGTTTGATATTTATATCGTGTCTTAAACGAATAAGGCTGGCCACTCGTTCCCTCTTCTGTTACCCTGTCATTGGAGGTTTTGTTATTTGCCTTGGTATGTTGAGAGACCCCAGAGGTCTGTGAGTAAAATTCAAGGGCTCTGTCAACTCAGATGGGACAAAGTCTACTTCTCTGGATTTACTAACTTGTAACTGAAATTCTGCATTGCCTATGGACCCCACAACAATATTATGGACCCCATTGCCAACACCCCACAACAATATTAGTCTCACCTGTAGATTTCTCACCAACCATTATCACAGATACTTTCCTATCACTGTACAGGAGTTGCAGATGAAATATCTTTCATGCTCATGACCACTTCAGTGTTACTGTGCTCCTTGGATGCCTCGAAATATTTTAATCTTACGAATATCTAATGCATTACTGTGTTTCCATTACACGAAATAAAACAATGACTTAGCAGTTGCCCAGGTGAAGGGAACCACTTCCAACAGGTGGAATTAATCGTTCAGGGTTTTAAAAAGTTCTCTGTGTAGTTGGATTTTAAGCTCCAGAGTTAATCTGATAGAACTTGCTCATCTGGTTTTAAGAAGTGTGGTTAATGGGGATCTCTTGACTGTAGAATTAGTTTTAAAACACCACATTTACTTCTGACAGTAGGTAAATTTTACCTTGGGCAGAATTGTATGGCCTTGGTGGTAGTTAGTATAAATTAGTATGAATTAACTTGGGCATATGTGAAAATTAGTACAGCATAAATTAATGAAGGCATATGTGAAAATTTGCAATTATTTTATGTATTCACCTAAAATGGAATTGCACTGGAAATATAGCATGCTTCTTTTGTGATTTCTACATATCTCTGTTTTATTCTCATGTCAAATTCTACTTTACCCCTCAATGACAGTCATTTGACACTCCTCTCTGTCTCAGTGTCTGAGGCACCCTGGGACCATCCTGACTGGAAAGCACAGTGACATTGCTGGCCTGAGCTGAAGTGCTGATTAAAATAAATTGAAAGCTGAATGACTTTTTGAAGAGATGCTTTACCCAGGAACAAATATGGAGAGGAACTCCTTGCAACTGTGTTCTCAAGTAGACCACTTTTGAGAAATTATACATTTATCATAACACCTCAAGTCCTGCTCTGCATAGAATGACCATTATTATCAAGAAAAGTTCTCCATTCCCTGTGATTCATAAGGAAATGCGGGCCTAACCAGAACACAGGAGCTGCGACAACCTTGGGTCAGACACATTCAATCTCTCTATTCACAGTTGCATTTTCTCTCTCTCTCTCTCTTTTTTTTTTTTTTTAACAAAGCCAATTACCAATAACTGGGAAAAACAAAAACAAAAAAAAAAATGAACACACTGTTGAGCTCACTTCTGAGAAAGATTCTGCATTGTGAATGTCAGGATTCCACATTTCTGAAGCGCCTTTGCTCCTTCAGAAAGCACATCTCTAGTTTCGTGGTGATACAGGAGGGAAATGACAATTGTCGGTATTATCAGGATGGCCCATTGTTCTCTGTGGTTCTCAATCAATGTGGACATCGACCATGACCAAGCTCGCTCTTTCTTTTCTCTCTTTCTCTCTCCTCTCTCCTTCCTTCCTTCCCCCTTCCCCTTCCCCTCCCCTCTTCCCCTTTCCTTTACCTTGTTTCTTGCTTGTTTCTTTCTCTCTTCCCTTCCCTCCTCTCCCCTCCTCCCGTTCTTCCTTCCCCTCCTTTTCTCCCCTCCCCTCTCCTCCTCCCTTTCTTCCCTCCCCTCCCTTTCTCCCCTCCCCTCCTCCCTTTCTTTCCTTCCCTCCCTTTCTTCCCTCCCCCACCTCCCCCTTCCCCTCCCCTTCCTTCTTCCCTTCCTTCTCCCCTCCACTTCCCCCTCCACTCCCTTCCGCTCCCCTCCCCCTTCCCTTCTCTTTTCTTTTCCTTTCTTTTCTTTTTTTGAGACAGGATCTCACTCTGTTGCCCAGACTGAAGTACAGTGAAGGGATCATGGCTCACTGTAGCCTTGACCTCCTGGGCTCAAGCCATGCTCTTTCCTCAGCCTCCTGAGTAGCTGGGACTACACACACACACAACCATGCCTGCCTACTTTTTTAAATTTTTATATTTTTTTGAGACAGGGTTTCATGCAGGTTGTCATGCCCAGGCTAGAGTGCGGTGGTACAATCTTTTGGCTCACTGCAACCTCTGCCTCCTGGGCTAAAGCGATATTCCTACCTTGGCCTCTCAAGTAGCTGCGACCACAGGCACTAGCCACCACATTCAGCTATTTTTTTATTTTTTATTTTTTAAAGACACAAGGTTTTACCATGTTGTCCAGGCTGGTCTCGAACTCCTGAGCTCAAGCGATACACGCGCCTCAGCCTCCCAAAGTGCTGGGATCACAGGCATGAACCACCATGCCCAGCCTGGTTAATGTTTAAATGTTTCCTGGAGATGGGGCTTCACTATGTAGCGCAGGCTGGTCTTGAACTCCTGGGCTCAAGTGATCCTCCCACACTCAGAGATATTATTTTCTTTTCTTGCTTTTTTTTTTTTTTTTTTTTTGAGAGGGGTCTTGCTCTTGTCCCCCAGGCTTGAGAGCAGTGGCTCGGTCTCAGCTCACTGCAACCTCCACCCAGGATCAAACGACTCTCCTGCCTCTGCCTCCCAAGCAGCTCAACTTCAGCACCTCATCCTTTGTCTAAGCCAAGTTTAGCCGAAGAAAACACCTGCCGAGAAGGTAAAAACAAAAACATCTGCCAAAGGCAAGAACCCCGTGGGAAGCCCCCTGAGCCCAGGGGCCTGCAGAGTCTGTTCTGGTGACAAAGCAGGCAGTTGGAAGAGAGCAGGGCTGCGGGACAGCGTGGGTGGGTTTTATCTGCTGCTTTTGGAAATTCATTGCATGATGTGTTTGTTTTTCAGAGGTCCCAAAGCAGAGAAACAAAAGCCCCGCAGAGTTCACCCAGAAGGAAAGCCTTCATTGGATCAGGCTATAAGAGGACTCTCCCCTGAGAAAGATACTTATTTTGGTGCTGTGTTTAGAGAAAAAGGAAGAACGATGGCTTTCCCGTAGAAACATTTACTTATTTCATGATTTGAAAATGGACTTTTATGTTTTAGGAATTATGTGGATGGGATGTTTTCTTGGGTGATAGGATTTGAAATTGCAGAGGGGACCAGGTGCCATGTGCCAGCAATGGCCAGCCAGTCTGCCTGCCTTCCTGCCTTCCTCCCTCCCTCCCTCCCTCCCTCCATTTCTCCTTCCCCCCACCCCATTTCTTCCTTCTTTCTCTGTGTTTCTTCTTTCTTTTTCCTTCCTTCCTTCCTTCCTTCCTTCCTTCCTTCCTTCCTTCCTTCCTCCCTCCCTCCCTCCCTCCCTCCCTCCCTCCCTCCCTTCCTCCCTCCCTCCCTCTCTCTCTCTCTCTTTCACTTTGTTTGTTTTAATGAGAGTAGAGAGGAGGAAAAACACTTTTTTTTTTTTTTTTGTACCCCTGGCTGGAGTGCAATGGCGCGATCTCGGCTCACTGCAAGCTCCGCCTCCCGGGATCATGCCATTCTCCTGCCTCAGCCTCCTGAGTAGCTGGGACTACAGGCGCCCGCCACCGCGCCTGGCTAATTTTTAGTAGAGACGGGGTTTCACCGTGTTAGCCAGGATGGTCTCGATCTCCTGACCTTGTGATCTGCCCGCTTCGGCCTCCCAAAGTGCTGGGATTACAGGCGTGAGCCACTGCGCCCGGCTGGAAAAACACTTTTTATTTTTTGTCTACTTTTATTGTAAGGAGAGAGTGAGAATACCATGCCACACATGCAGGGTTCTGAGCAGAGGGCTACACCCTGCTTAGTTCGAAAGGCATCTACACTTTATCATGAAAGCCATGGAGAGGCCCACATTTTGAAACACTCAGTCTCTCAGAAGAGGATAGAATGGGCTGCCAGTGTGATAGGGAGAGAAATTGAACCTAGCTGACTCCATCTTGCTTCTGACTGCTCAAGCTAACTGCTCTTAGGCACTTCTGCAGATGGGCCAAGTTAATCATGGAAAGAACTTAGATTACAGTTTAACTGGAAAGCAAGGATGATAAGAATTCCTTTCCAAAACTAACCTCTGAGGAGATAAGAAGGGCATGCACACAAGTAGCAATGTTGTGTTGAAGATTGGTCGGAGCACTGTGACCTGAGCAAGGACAAGGAAGTTTTGCAATCTCCTTGGGCCCCTGCGGATGCCCAAGTGTCTGTGGCCACCAGCCATCCCTCACCTCAGCCTCCTCCTTGTTCCCCCTTCTCAATGTACGAAGAAGTTTGAGATTCATGCCTTTAAAAATGGTTCCTTAGGACATGGGTCCAGTATCTTCCTGACTTGCTGGCTCTCCAAATAAAGATGCTTTTCTTTTTCTAACTTCTTGTCTCTTGAATGATTGGCTGTTATGCAGCAAACCTCAGGAACTTTGGACTCCACAGCACTAGGGCCACTCTCGGGACCTCCAGTGTCTACTGGGTGCAGGAATCACTGGGGAGTCGGACTGAAATGCAGACTCTGATTAAGGAGGCCTGGGATACGAGGCCTGAGATTCTGCATCTCCAGTAAGCACCCAGGGGATGCTGATGCTGCTGATCCAGGGACCACACCTTGGAGAGCAATGCTGAGAAGCTGGTGGAAGAGCCCAGGTTGATGAGGATCTGAACGTGGTCCGTAGCAGGGAGGCTGAGAAAATGAGATAAAAATGTTAAAAATGGCAGAGTTACCTTCCTGGAGAAGAAATGGCGTTTCCATTCCTTATTACGCTCATGTCTTTGCAACTAGCCCCCAGTGGTCTCCTTCCTGCTATATACCTGCCGTTACCATGTTCTTGTTAAGGAAGAATTGCAAATGAAAAAAAAAAAGGAAGTTGATCATGTTTGGTTGCTTTTGGTCATGTTTGGTCATCACAATAAGCAAATAAAATCTGAAATTTCCCCTGACTTTGCAAATGTTTTCTTCCAAGGAGATCAACCTTATTGGATTTCTTTGGTTCCCGAACAGCCTGTCATGAGGTATGAAGGACACACGATCTTTTATGTAATTGGTGAGACCCAATGCCTTCCAGATGTTGGGTGTCTCATCCCAGTGTGAGGATTTTTTTTTTTTTTTTTTGGAAATGGAGTCTTGCTCTGTTACCCCAACTGGAGTGCAATGGTGCAATCTCGGCTCACTGCAACCTCCACCTCTCAGGTTCAAGCCATTTTCCTGTCTCAGCCTCCCGAGTAGCTGGGATTACAGGTGCGTGCCACCACACCCAGCTAATTTTTTGTATTTTATTAGAGACAGGGTTTCACCATGTTGCCCAGGCTGGTCTTGAACTCCTGAGGTCAGGCAATCCACGTGCCTTGGCCTCTCAAAGTGCTGGGATTACAGGTGTGAGCCACTGTGTCCGGCCAAGGATATGTTTTGAAAACTTAGTTTCCCTTTAGAAAAGAGAACTTAATCTACATGTTGGTTCTTTTTGTTGTTTGTTTTTTTGAGACAGTCTCGTTCTGTCTGGCGCAATCTCAGCTCACTGCAAGCTCTGCCTCCTGGGTTCATGCCATTCTCCTGCCTTAGCCTCCCAAGTAGCTGGGACTACAGGCGCCGCTACCATGGCCGGCTAATTTTTTTGTATTTTTTTAGTAGAGATGGGGTTTCACTGTGTTACCCAGGGTGGGCTCGATCTCGTGACCTTGTGATCTGCCTGCCTCGGCCTCCCAAAGTGCTAGGATTACAGGTGTGAGCCACTGCGCCTGGCCTAGATGTTGGTTCTTTTAATTTATCTTGAGTAAAAGTTGTCTTTGCTAATATGAATTTTTAAAGTCATCATTTGGTTCATACAGTTTTGTGTAATTCACCTCTAAATGTTTTCAGCAGAGGGAGTAACAAAAAAGAAAAGGTTTCTGTTTTGTTTGTTTTTTTTGACATGGAGTCTCGCTCTGTCGCCCAGGCTGGAGTGCGATGGTGCAACCTCGTCTCACTACAACCTCTGCCTCCCAAGTTCAGGCGATTCTCCTGCCTCAGCCTCTCAAGTAGCTGGGACTATAGGCACCCACCACCACACCTGGCTAATTTTTGTATTTTTAGTAGAGATGGGGTTTCACCGTGTTAGCCAGGCTGGTCTCGATCTCCTCACCTCATGATCTGCCCGCCTTGACCTCCCAAAATGCTGGGATTACAGGTGTGAGCCACCTCTCCCGGCCAAGAAAAGGTAATTTTAAGGGCAAAGAAGTGAGATGACTTGAGTAACAGTGTTCCCCATGCATGGCTATCAACAAATGTTTCCTGACTGCCCCCCTGGCGAAAACATCGAACAGGTAGAATGTGTGGTCCTAGGAGGTGACAAACTTCTATTTTAAATGAAATATTAGAAAACAGATTAGACATCCAAGTTAAAGGGGTGACAAATAAGGAATTTCATGGGAGTTCAGTGATTTTTTTTTTAAATGATGATTGTAAGTCTATTAGAAAGTAGCATGTAAAATTTGCTATGGTCTGAATGTTGCTATCTCCCCAAAATTTCTCTTTTGATCTCCTCACCTCCAAGGTGATGGTGTTCAGACATGGGGCCTTTGGGAGGTGATGGGGGGGCCTCATGGATGGGATGAGTGCCCTTGTAAAAGGGGCCCCAGGGAGCTCCCTCACCCCTTCCACCATGTGAGCACACAGCCAGAAGGCTCCATCT